GGAAAAGGAGCAAAAGCCAAAAAGGAAGGGGAGATGGTATCTTTCCATAGCTTACGGCACTAAGATAAACATATGGTCCAGGACTTTGAGAAAAAACAAGTGCCCTCAAAGGACACTGAAAAGTCAGGTTCTTCTTAGACAAGCAGTAGCAACTGGTCCTGGGCCAACCTCGTAAGTCAGGGGGTCTCTCTGGAGAGGAGGAATGCTGAGGGGTACCAAGTACCACAAAGGATTGAAGAAGGGAGTGCAAGTCTGGATGGGGTACAACTCCCAAAGCCAAAGTTCCCACTTAAAGAGGAACATGAGCATCTAGGGAGACATTCAGGGTGACACCCATTTCCCCATTCCCGTCCCCATGACCCCGGTGTTGGGGGACCCTGACTTCGGCCCGGGCATGGAGAATGCGCGACTGCGGGGGCTCCACACTGCCAATAAGTTCCGTCTACTGGACTTCTTCAGTGGGGGGACCATGCTCGCCCAACCTGCTATCCGCGCATTGACGACCCCAACCCTCATAGACTGGTCAGCGATGCAATTGAGGCACTTTCTACAGGCGATTCCGCGGTCAGCACTCCCTAGCCGGGAACTTACACCTTTCGAGACCCTCTGTAGACAGGGCCAACCGGTGCGACACACCATTGCTGTCATTTATGGGGTGCTATCCTCATTTATGGGATTCTACCCCCCCCCCCCCAGGACTCCTGCCCTCCATACATCCGGAAATGGGAGACTGAGTTGGGGCAGACGTTCACAGATGAACAGCGGGTTAAAATCCTGTATCTGGTCCACAGGGTCTCCATTGCTAACCAATTTCAAGAACAGGGTTACAAAATTCTGGCCAGATGGTACAGGGTCCCAACACTCCTGCACAAAATAAATCCACTGGTGCCCTCTAACTGCTGGAGGTGTGATGCGGCACAGGGAACCATGGCCCACATCTTCTGGTTCTGCCCCAAGATTAGACCCTTTTGGGACGCAGTTAGGGATATCCTGACTCAGCTCACCATGACAGACCCGGGGGATCATCCTGCGACCTACCTGCATGTTCCTCAGCCTGGATGAAGACGTGCAAATGATGTCCCAGTTCACACAAATGTTATGTGATGGGCAGCTGCCCTTTCTTGTATAGTGGATTGGTTCCTTAAGCTGTTGAACAATAAACAATAAAAAATAAAAAAAAGAGGAACATGAGACTTCCAGGGTGAGGGGAACCCAGGAATGCCAGGGAAGGTACACTGCTGTGTACAGTAGCAGAAGAACGATGAGAGCCAGCTGAAGGAGATGCCAGACACAACAGGTTAGCCTGTGGGCTACAAGGCGTGTCCTGAGCACCCAGATGCCGCGCAGACAAAATACCCCAGGACCCATTCCACCAAACTGGCCCAAGGGGACGTGGTACTCAAGGGCCAGTCCACCATCCTGTTTCTCAGTTGCTGGCTTTGATAGCTTAGCTGTTGATCCCCAAGTCCACTTGTTCGTACATAGTTTGTATGTACATACAGCCCCCTTTTGTAGATGTGGGGGCCACACCTTCATGTAAAAGGCTTATCAGAGGGGTTAGGAAATCTCTGGTTTCCAGCCTTTTGGGCTGAGTGGGAGTTAGGTTCTGAAGTCCCATGAACACCTACTACCAAAGTAGATGAAGGAGAAGGGTGGGATTCCTCTGACCCCTCTGTAGACCTCCTGCAGGAGCACACTCTAGCCACCTGTGGCATTTCTAAGACACAGGTCCAAAAATACAATGTCCCTCAATCGAGTCAGATACTTCTTGGAGTATCCATAGCCAGAGAGCCGTATGCATTTATATGGATAGACGTTTGGATGCTTGCAGCAAGCCAACACAACTTAACCACAAGGCTCCGGACATCTGCTCCAGCCGCCGTGTGAAATGAGGAGGACCTACCCCAGCAGTGGAGGAGTCCCTCTCATGGCAATCTACCCGTTCGGACAAGGCTTGACCAGCAAGGGCAGAAAGCTAGACCAGTCAATTCAAACTGGGATCTAAGAAGGGACTCTGCCCATCAAAGATAAGCAGCCAGGTGGTCTTCCTGATAGGTGGGTCATCGGATAATCTATGGTGGGAACAGACCACTGATCTACAAATTCCCTTTCAGGAGGGAAAAGTTCAGACACACTTTGAGGTGGGGCCCAGGACACTTCAGGCTGCTTCAAGTCCGTGGAGGATCCCCTCGCCCATCCTCTATCCTTCTCACTAGATCTATATCGTATCTAACAATTTATATTCTTGCCTTCACCTCGTCCAGTGTTCCCGCAGCTTCTCTCCGGAGCCGATGCTTCCGCCTGAACATCCCTTAGACAGGCTCATACCTGGAGCTGTAGCACAATCCTGGACCTGGAAAGCACTCAGCAGCTAACACAGTACACTCAGGTCTGGAACGTGGCACAACGCAGAGCCCAATGCCCAACAGTCTCAGCTAGCCCAGCAATCATCCAGTCCGGCAGGGTCCGGATATGGCCTCCAAAGCTAGACTGAGGAAACGCTGATCCAGAAAGCTGGACCAGTTCAAGCAGCGGTGTCGGAGAAGAATTTTGATTGAAGTCAGCTAGAAGAAGAGGCGCCCAACCTTCTAGGACACTAGTGAAAGAAACTGAGGCATGCTGGGTAGAGGAAGGGGTTATATGGGGGCTGGCTTACAATCTTGCTTTTTACCAGTGTCCTAAACCTCCTCTAGGGGGCAGTAAAACCCAAACGCTTCTGATTTCCTGAGTCCCTCAATGGATGAGATATAGAGAAATAGACTTCATTGATAAGTTGAGTATCACTGTTGGGTGGACCGTCCTTCACACCGCCAATAGTGATGGTGAGCACGCCTCTCTCTGCCAATCACAGAACAGGACATGAAATGATGGCACTCATTACACGTCAATGGCCCCCCGGGAACCGCTCCAATAATGAAGGTCTTCAGCAAGGGCTTGAAAGGTTATATACAGGATATGTTAGCGAATGACCATCAGTCATCATCGATGTGACATAAATAAAGTCCAAAGAGGAAAGACACATAATAAATATTTCTCTATTCACAGCTACAAGTCATTTGTTACTTTACAGAGATACAACACGTGACGTGACATAAATAGACGCTGTGCAGCCCTCATATGATATACGCACAGTAAAGGAGCCTACGTGTCCCCTGTGGCCCCCCATATATATAGTATATGCATATTAAAGGAGCCTATGTGTCCCCCCATATATAGTATACACACAGTAAAAAGGAGCCTACGTGTTCCCTGTGGCCCCCCATATATAGTATACACATAGTAAAGGAGCCTACGTGTTCCCTGTGGCCCCCCATATATAGTATACACACAGTAAAGGAGCCTAGGTGTTCCCTGTGGCCCCCCATAAATAGTATACACATAGTAAAAGGAGCCTACGTGTCCCCTGTGGCCCCCAATATATAGTATACACACAGTAAAGGAGCCTACGTGTTCCTTGTGGCCCCCCATATATAGTATACAGATAGTAAAGGAGCCTACGTGTCCCCTGTGGCCCCCCATATATATAGTATATGCAAATTAAAAGGAGCCTACTTGTCACCTGTGGTTTGGATTAAAGTGGATCTATGCTGTAATATCCTCATCGCTGACACTGACAGTAAGAACGGTGCCTTCATCCATACTGCCCCGTCTGGTCACATGACCAAACCCCAGCACATATGTCATGTGATCTGAGCTGAAGAGGACAGGGAGCGTTCAGGAAGAGTTGTGGATTAGCCATCGCTGCATTGACACTAGTCCCTTTAGCCGAGATCACATGGCCAGCGCCTTGTCACGTGACCAGCCACAGAGGGCACTGGAGCAGACAGTTTTATGACTTGCACAGATCTGCCACACTGCACAGCCCAGGCAGGTGAGACCCCTTTATGTCCCAGGGTTGGCTATGCAGCTCTCCCCCCATATATAGTATACACACAGTAAAAAGGAGCCTACGTGTTCCCTGTGGCCCCCCATATATAGTATACACATAGTAAAGGAGCCTACGTGTTCCCTGTGGCCCCCCATATATAGTATACACACAGTAAAGGAGCCTAGGTGTTCCCTGTGGCCCCCCATAAATAGTATATACATAGTAAAAACAGCCTACGTGTCCCCTGTGGCCCCCAATATATAGTATACACACAGTAAAAGGAGCCTACGTGTCCCCTGTGGCCCCCAATATATAGTATACACACAGTAAAGGAGCCTACGTGTTCCTTGTGGCCCCCCATATATAGTATACAGATAGTAAAGGAGCCTACGTGTCCCCTGTGGCCCCCCATATATATAGTATATGCAAATTAAAAGGAGCCTACTTGTCACCTGTGGTTTGGATTAAAGTGGATCTATGCTGTAATATCCTCATCGCTGACACTGACAGTAAGAACGGTGCCTTCATCCATACTGCCCCGTCTGGTCACATGACCAAACCCCAGCACATATGTCATGTGATCTGAGCTGAAGAGGACAGGGAGCGTTCAGGAAGAGTTGTGGATTAGCCATCGCTGCATTGACACTAGTCCCTTTAGCCGAGATCACATGGCCAGCGCCTTGTCACGTGACCAGCCACAGAGGGCACTGGAGCAGACAGTTTTATGACTTGCACAGATCTGCCACACTGCACAGCCCAGGCAGGTGAGACCCCTTTATGTCCCAGGGTTGGCTATGCAGCTCCGTGTGTCCCCTTTATGTCTTCAGCCTGCTCATTGGACAACAAAACAACATGATCACCGCCGTCCAATGAGAAGGGACTCATAAAGCAGCATTGATCTTCCTGGCTGTGCAGTGAGTCAGGAGACTCCAACATGGCTGCACAATATGACATGACGACCTATTGTCGTGTCTGTCCTCTGCAGTGTCAGTTCCATCCCCAGACACACAATGGACATTTCCAGATGTTCTAGACGAAGGGGGGTACAGGGGACCTCGTATCCAAATGTGGTGTCTGCAGATCCTCTATACGCACGGATAATGCTGGTGAGAAGGGGCGGAGTCTTCAGTCACAGCTCCACCAATGAGCTCACGTCAGCACAGGATATCCTATATCTGGACATAGCGGATGATCTCGCTCAGGTCGTATCCCGTCACGGCGAAGGACGACCCCTGAGGATCGCAGAATCTCCCCCCACATATCTGAGTGTCTGTCACACATTCTGAATGGCGGTGCTCCACCTGAAAGCCAGAGAATCGCAAGAAATATCAAATATAAAAACATGGCGGCGGATAGAAGTAGAATATAAGAAACCCTTTTACCTCAATGGAGCCGGACTCGGCACAGCGACTCAACTGCCAGATCTGTACAAAGGAATCCTCGGATCCGGAGAGAAGCTGCGGAAACAGAGGAAGAGGTGAGAATACGGATATATATACATACAGGTGAAACTCGAATAATTAGAATATCGTGCAAAGTTCATTTATTTCATGGGTGGGAGGTGAGATAGGGGGGAGAGGGGGAGGGGCACACAGAGAGCGAGAGGGACAGAGAGAGGGAGAGAGGATGAGAGGGGGAGAGACAAAGGGTTGGGGGTGAGATGGGGGGAGAGAGAGAGAGAGAGAGAGAGAATGAAGGGGATAGAGAGAAAGGAGAGGGTCATACTCTGCCAGTCTCAGGGGCCACATCAAGAGAGTAGATCCACCTGGCGTGGGCATCCAGCTCCGCACATACACTTCCTGTGGCGGCATCGTACACCCGAATCTGACCCGTCCCATAGGCAGCTGCAATCACTCCATCCCACAGCTTCACGGAGGAGCATGTCACCCTAGAGGAGGACGGAGATCATCACATTACAGAACATTTCTCACTCCTTCCCTACACTTTCCTCGGACAATTATTTTCTAGTTTCGGATGAAGTAGGGGAGAACTAGAAGGGTATTTTCTTTCACTTCCTGTGCCATACATACAACAGGAAATGAGAGGAAATCTCTCCACAATGAGGGAATATCCCTCTCAGACAGCTGTCTCCAAAACAGTGTCCCCATTGGAAGATTTTGCCTCTCTTCCTGTGACAACTGTAAAGTTTTAGATCTCCCATCACTTCCTGTCTTGGTGACACCAGGACAAATAGAGGGACACAGGTCCTCAATACTGACCCCTCCCCAGTAGCATGAAAAAATAAACAATCCCCGGGTCCCAAAAATGATGTCAGATGATCTGGATGACATCCTAAACCTGTTAAAAAAAAGATGCCACTATGCTACTGTGTTCAACCCCTCCTGAGATTATATCCTGGAACACAAGTGGTCATGTGATCATGTTCTGCCCTTCCTGAGATTATATCCTGGAACACAAGTGGTCATGTGATCATGTTCAGCCCCTCCTGAGATTATATCTTGGACACAAGTGGTCATGTGATCATGTTCAGCCCCTCCTGAGATTATATTCTGGACACAAGTGGTCATGTGATCATGTTCTGCCCCTCCTGAGATTATATCCTGGACACAAGTGGTCATGTGATCATGTTCTGCCCCTCCTGAGATTATATCTTGGACACAAGTGGTCATGTGATCATGTTCTGCCCCACAAGTGGTCATGTGATCATGTTCGGCCCCTCCTGAGATTATATTCTGGACACAAGTGGTCATGTGATCATGTTCTGCCCCTCCTGAGATTATATCCTGGACACAAGTGGTCATGTGATCATGTTCGGCCCCTCCTGAGATTATATCCTGGACACAAGTGGTCATGTGATCATGTTCGGCCCCTCCTGAGATTATATCCTGGACACAAGTGGTGATGTGATCATGTCCAGCCCAAGTGGTCATGTCCAGCCCAAGTGGTCATGTGATCATGTCCAGCCCCACAAGTGGTCATGTGATCATGTTCGGCCCCTCCTGAGATTATATCCTGGACACAAGTGGTGATGTGATCATGTCCAGCCCAAGTGGTCATGTCCAGCCCAAGTGGTCATGTGATCATGTCCAGCCCCACAAGTGGTCATGTGATCATGTTCGGCCCCTCCTGAGATTATATCCTGGACACAAGTGGTGATGTGATCATGTCCAGCCCAAGTGGTCATGTCCAGCCCAAGTGGTCATGTGATCATGTCCAGCCCCACAAGTGGTCATGTGATCATGTTCGGCCCCTCCTGAGATTATATCCTGGACACAAGTGGTCATGTGATCATGTTCTGCCCCTCCTGAGATTATATCTTGGACACAAGTGGTCATGTGATCATGTTCTGCCCCACAAGTGGTCATGTGATCATGTTCGGCCCCTCCTGAGATTATATTCTGGACACAAGTGGTCATGTGATCATGTTCTGCACCTCCTGAGATTATATCCTGGACACAAGTGGTCATGTGATCATGTTCGGCCCCTCCTGAGATTATATCCTGGACACAAGTGGTCATGTGATCATGTTCAGCCCCACATGTGGTCATGTGATCATGTTCAGCCCCTCCTGAGATTATATCCTGGACACAAGTGGTCATGTGATCATGTCCAGCCCCACAAATGGTCATGTGATCATGTTCGGCCCCTCCTGAGATTATATTCTGGACACAAGTGGTCATGTGGTCATGTGATCATTTCCAGCCACCCCTGAGATTAGAGGAGGAAGGGTATGGGCACTCACCCATAAGCAGAGATCTTGCTGACCAGTCGCAAGTCCTCTCCACTCTTCCAGACACACAGCAGGCCAGAGTCGTCAGCTGTCACCAGGTCGGCCGCTCTGTTCTGTGACACAAAGAAAGATGAGGACATATAATGTGGAAGATGAATGCTGCAGACGGGACTACGGCCTCTTACCTGCCCTCCCCCACACGTCTCGCTGGCGATGTCAGTGATCGCATCTCTGTGCTCGGCCAGGACCTCAGCCAGTGTGATATTTGTGCCTTTCACCGGGACGTCAAACACCAGAACCAGACCGGAGGATGTTCCTGAATGAGGAACCACAACAACAATATCAAGTCTATGCGGAAACACCTTTTATTGTATGATGTCCTAGATGTACTACCTGAGGGTCTCTATGGGAGTGGTGGAGGACTGGGATCATTCTACGGGAGTTGTGGAGGACTGGGGCCATTCTACGGGAGTTGTGGAGGACTGGGGCCATTCTACGGGAGTTGTTGGAGACTGGG